GGGTCCGCCCCGAGCCTGGCGGCGACACGGGGCTAATCGGCCACAAGATACGGCGGCGCGCCTGCTGGAGGAAGTTTGCAGCTAGCGTGTTGAGGGGAACTCCGTCCGTTGCCGATTCCGTTGTGGATGGCGAGGGCCTTGTAGGTCGTCTGGCACCAGACACGCGCGGCCGGCGCGAGCTGGGAGGGCGTGACGCGCCAAGCTGGCTGTCCGACTCCGATTTCCGCTCACCGCCACGATCTCGCATCGTCAGGCTTTGTAGACAGACGACCTGCGACTAACGACCTGCTGCGATGCAATATCAGGAACCGCCGCCGATCATTCCGGGGAGATTGCCCGAGTCGGTTACGTGCAATATGACCGTAACTTTGTTCCAATCGGCCGGCAGCGCCGTAACAGAACCGGCAAGTGCCGCGGCGCCTCTACATGTTCGCTCTGCGGACTTCTCTTGAATTTTTCTGAGTGAGGTTTCAAGGCGAAAGAAGAACAGCAAAATCTCCTATCAAAGAGCGCCGGCCGCTAGCTACGCAACAACAAAGCATAGGCGTCGCCGCTTGTGCAGCCGCAACGAAGGCGCGGCAGGCTCCGGCTCCGGCGTTCGGCCCTAGGTTCGGGGAGAGAGTTTTGTTTTGTTTAGGTTCGGCAGCGAGTCGCCTTCCGATTCCAGTGTTTGTTAAAAAAAAGAGAAGAGCCATTCACCTCCAAGTGCTCCATTCATAGAAAGCCAGGCTCGGACTGGACAGGAAAGCCAGGTTTTTCTTTCATGTGCCGGTGTGTGCCAAAGCTGCCGAGCCCAAATCACTGTGAGAGTCGTGATCTTGTTGGTTAATAAAAAATCTCTCTCCCAATCTGCACCATAAAATGAATAAAACGGACGCATCAAACAAAGGGGTGGGAGAAAGAAGAAGGACAGGGTCCCCACCTGCACGAGCAGGATCTTGTAAGGACGATCAGGGACACAGGGGAACGGGAGCGGGGTGCCAGTCTAAGAAAGAAAGAAAGAAAAACTGGTTGGGTAGTAGTCTAAGTTCTGAGCCTCGAGGCTGAACGGGTCTAAGTGTGGCTAGCCACGCTGGAGTGCTTGCGCGGTCTAAGATCAGCGGGAGCCTCTTACATCGGCTAAGTCGGCCGTGGCACGGCCTGGGGCCAGGAGGCTCCTCCACCGTGATCAACGATACGGCGCAGCCCCCAAATTTTCTTCGCCTGCGGTGGGCTATCGATCCTCTTCATGCTTAGCAATCGCCGCCTCAGCATCCTCCTCTTCCGACTTTCGTTGCTGCTCCTTCATTCTTGAGCGACGTCTAGCCAAACAGTTCTCACATGACACGAAGCTCCTCAAGCTTAATCAAACGTGTGACGGTGAAGGCGTGAAGCCTGTGTGTGCTGGTCCTCTTTGAACGATCCGCGCGTGAGGTAGCATAGGGCCTTGTTGGCAGCAGCCAGCTTGTTGCGCTGCTTCGTTGCGATGAGCTGATTGGGATCGCAGAAGTGCATGCCAAGCACCGCCACGATCTTGAAGCAGAACACATCGCAACCGCATCGTCCGCACTGCCATCGGCATGCCGCGCCCGCCGCTTCGCCGCAGCCGCACATGGTACGGTGCGCGTACTTGAGCAGGCGTTGCGCGCCGTGAGTAGCGCACTGGCCCTGGGAGAAGGCGATATGGCGTCGTGCGCGGCATACGTTGGTCGGACGCGTCCAGGTATTTCGGGTAAACCTGGAGGCTTTTCAGGTATACCCGGGTTTTGCCCGGAGTGGCCTTATGTCGTCTAAGTTCATGGCCCCCGACCATACAGCGTCTAAGTCTGAGCCCGGCTCGGTGCGGGGGCTAAGTTGAGCGCTCGCTCGCTGCAGAGGCTAAGTGTAGAGCGACCCTCTAGCCCTACTACCCAACCATTAAAGAAAACAGACCAAACGAGGGATAGGGGAGGAGGACAGGGTCCCCACCTGCACGAGCAGCATTTTGGAAGGACAATCAGGGGCACAGGTGGGGCTCTCCTGCTCCTGACAAGGCTCAAGGGACGCGACAGGCTCGCAGCGCGGTGCACGGTGGACTCCCACATCCACTGGCGGTCTCATCTCAGTCTAGCGACCTGCCTCCAGCTTCTCGCTGGCAGTCTCTCGCTACCACAGGCACACTGACACAGGGTTCCAGTCTAAAAAGAAAGAAAGAAAACGGACAACTCAAGGGTGCCAGTCTGTACCAGTACCCTACCTTGGGTGGGCTGGGTGGGTTCTTTCTTTCTTTCTGCACCAGCAGGGCTGGCATAGTCTTTGGGCGCTGGGCTGCTCGCAGGCTGCTCGGGGTGAGCGCCGCCATCGAATGTCATCTCCTCCGGACACGCCTGCTCAAGCAAACGCCGACGCTGAGCTTGCTAACGCCTCTGACTCCGCCGACGGTGGTGACGGCGGCGGCGGCGAAGGCGGCGGCGGTGAGGGCGGTGGCGACGACACCTTTGAGGGATTGTTGCGATCTCTGCGCAGCACGGAGCCTGGTGTCCGCATCCCGGCTCAGCGGCAGCTGCGGTCGATGCGACTCTGTGATCCTGAGCAGGTGGCCACGGTGGTGGACGTGTGGCGGCACAGTGCCAGCGAACACGTGCGTGCGGACGCCGGGGATGTCCTCCTCGCGGTGAACCCGCTCCTCTTGGCGCCGCACGTCGACCCGGTGATTGACGGCCTCGCGGACTGCAACTCGTTCGCGCGGCTGGCGGCCGTCGCTATGCTTCAAAAACTGCTCGGCCACGGAGTCCTCACGCCCGAGGTGCTGAGGCAGCACGACGAGCAGCTCATGGGCTCCTTGCGGTCGGAGCACTGCGACGACGTCGTGCGCGATCTGGTGGGCAACGAGCTCATGACCGTCGCCTTCGAGCCGGGCGGCCTCGGCGCTGTCGGCGCTCAGGAGAACTACCAGGCCGCAGCCGGAGGCAGCAGCAGCGGCAGTGGCGGCGGCGGCAGCAGCAGCGGCAGTGGCGGCGGCGGCAGCAGCAGCGGCAGTGGCGGCGGCGGCAGCAGCAGCGGCAGTGGCGGCGGCGGCAGCAGCAGCGGCAGTGGCGGCGGCGGCAGCAGCGACTCTTCGGTCGAGCAGCTGCGCGCGATCCTGGGCTCGGCCGTGCCTCGCAAGCTGCTGCTCTCTCTTCTCTCCGAGAGCCGGGGCGACCTCAACGTGGCCGCGAACCGGTACTTCGGCCTGCAGCAGCGTGAGGGCGACGGGGCGCAAGAGGTGGCGCTCGGCCTGCTTGACGGGACCTTGCCGCAGCACCCGCTGGCCATGCACGTCGCGTCGGGGGCCGTCGCAGAGGGGAACCTCGACGGCACGCTGCCGCACCACCCGCTGGCGATGAGAGTCATGTCCGGCACAGTGGCACCCGCCGTGGCGGAGGGACGGCTTGACGGCACGCTGCCGGAGGACCCGCGCAACGTGCGCCTCCTCGACGGCACGTGAGGACACCCTCGCGCGACGGCGGCGCCAGCACCGGCCAGCCGCTCCCGTGCTGACAGAGAGCAGGGTGTTGTGCCACCCGTCCGACTATGCGTATGCCTCTCTTCACGCGGCCGAGAGCATGTGCTATCTTGCGATTCGCGCGGTTTCTCGGGCCGGCACGGGGGGCGGCGGGGGGGGGAGCGTGGGGGAGGCGGAGGGATAACAGCAGGGGCGCAGGAGGGGGGGGGGGGCTGGACCTGTGTCTATAGATTATTCATTGCAGTGTGAGTGCGTGTGCGTGTCTCGTCCGCCCGGTGTGGGTGTGGGTGACCTCTCCGACTCCACCTCACCACTCAGCGGCGCTACACGCGCTAATAAGTAATTTCCGACAGCACGCGAGAACGACACACACATCTGACGACACGGTGAGAGCTAAACCGGACTCTCGCTCACACACCGCACGGTCCACGGAGGGCCGCGGGTGCGGGGCTTGCGCCCCACGCCCCACGCGCTAGCTAAAGGCGTCCGCGCGACGAGGTATAGTCACACACAGCTCTATCAAAGGGCAATCAGCTGGCGGCGACACGCTCGGACGCCCTCTTCCACGGCGCCGCGCGGATCCAGACGTTGATCGCCACCTTTGCGCCGGTGAAGCTGTTTGTGGGCGGGGAGCCGCCGTGGAGTGTGCGCGGGTCTACGTCGCCGTTCGGGAGGCAGTCGTTGAAGACGACGGCGGAGGAGGCGGCGGGCGAGACGGAGAGCTGCAGCTTGGGGAAGGTGGTGTGCCCATTGTACTCGTCCGCCACGTCCGTGAGGTAGATGAGCATTGTCACGTGCCGGTAGCCGTTCGACGCATTCTCCTCGTAGTCGCACGCCTGAGGAGGCCTCGCCAACATCGGAGTGAGGAGGGTCACCTCGGGCAGTCTCGGGCAATCTCGGGCAATCTCGGGTACTCTCGGGTACTCTCGGGTAATCTCGCCTCGCCAAAGTCGAAGTGCGGCTCGTACTTTTGGCCCTCGACGTACCGCACCAGCTGCAGCGGCTCGATGTGCTCCTCGGGGTAGCCCGTCAGCAGCGAGGCGCGCGCGGTGACCGCCGCAACCACCGGGTCCTCCTGCGGCGAAGCAACTCGGCCTGCTCGCGGACGTGTTTGGGAAGCGTACGGGAGGCGTCTGGGAAGTGTCCGAGAAGGGTCTGGGAGGTGTCTGGCTCCCTCGGCAGCATCGCGGTGGTGGAGGTGCGGATCGACTCGGTCCGCCCGCCGGCGAGGGAACGGTGCATCCGCGGCATCCTACGAGAGAGGACGGAGCCGCCTCAGCCTCGGCGGGCGTGCGGCGCAGCCAGCCGGCCGGCGGCCTCGCCCGATCTTGATGATGTGCGCCGCTTCGTCGGGCGACACGACGCCGCCGACAAGCCGCACCTGCAGGGGGAGGGCCTCGCGGTCTCCCTCCCCCTCCGCCCTCCGCCCCGCGAGACGCCCGACGCTCTCGCCCGGCCGCCCGCGCCTTTGGCTCCAGGGCGAGAGGAAGCACCGTCATCTCCACCCCTCCGTCCGGCAGCCGCAGCCTAAAGTCGGACCCGTCGCCCCCTCGGTGACGCGTGCCGGCCCTCTCCCCGCCCGCCTGCCCCGCCCCGCGCCTCTCTCGCTCCGCCTCCGACAGCCGCACCGCCCGCCGCACCCCCGCGCGCGGCGTCGTCGAGCGGAGCGCACGGCAGCGCGCCTCGGCCGCCCTGCGCCAGCGCTGCAGCAGCGCGGCGCGGGGCGCGGCGCAAGTTGCGGCGGGCGGCTCGTCGAACGGTGTCGCCTTCCAGCACGGCAGCTGCTGCCCGCCGGAGCGGGCGCCGCCCGCCGCCTCCAGCCGCCGCGCCGCCAGAGACGCGTTCCCCGCGCCCGCCGCGCCAGGGAGGAGCGCAGCCACGTAGGCCTCCTCCCCCGACCGGCCCTTGGCAAAGCCGAGCGGGCCGACGTCCTCGTCGATGCGGCCGTAGCGGCGCGTCCGCACGGTCAGCCGGTCGCGGTAGCGGCGCAGCACGCCAGCCAGGTCGCTCCTCGCGCAAGAGAGGTAGCACCGCTTCAGCTCTAGCCCGGCGCACCCGCGCGAGCCGACCCGCACCGCGCAGTCGGCGTCGAGGTCGGTCAGCTCACGGCAGCGCAGCGCCTTGCGACACTCCTCCGGGTCCGCCTCGCTGGAGCAGATGGCCCAGCCCTCGCACGAGCCGGCGCATCGCTGGGCGAGCGCGCTCTTCTTGCACGTGGCCTCGTTCGCCTCGTCGATGCAGCCCGGCGACTCGTCGAGCGCCGCCTCGTGGACGGCGGCGCGCTGCGCGGCGCAGTTTTTCGGGCACGACGAGAGCATGAACTTTGGGTTGCGCGTGCACTCACCCTGCGACGACCAGCCGGCGCACTGCTCCATCTCGCCGTGCTGGTCCAGCGTTGGCGCAGCCGTCGCACACGCCTTGGCACAGTGCTGCTCCATGAACATCGGGTTGCTCTTGCACTCGCCGCTCCGCGCCCAGCCCTCGCAGTCAAAGGACGGATCGCCGCGGCAGGCGGAGACGAGGAGGAGGAGGGGCGAGGGGCGCAGCGGCAGGCGCGAGAGACGCAGCATCGCAAAGTCTTATCCAGCAGGCGGCTTTTCAGCGCGAACAACCATGCACATGAAAAGAAATTTGACGTGCTTTCTTTTCCCTTGAACATATAGTGTGGTGGGGGCGTGCCGTCCTCCCATGCATCCGTGGGCCTCCGTGCTTTCTTTCTTTGAACATATAGCCGGCAACACAAGTGTGCATGCGCGCCGCCACCATCCTCGCCTTTCTGCACGGCGTCTCTCTGGGCGTGCTCTGGGAGTGCGCCTCGATGGCGGTCCTCATCGCCGCCTCGATCGTCGAGTACAGCCTCGGCACCCTCTCGATGGCGGTGGTGTTTGTGGGCATCGCCTGCGGCGCGTTCGCCTGCGCGCGGCAGGCGCAGCTCGCCCGGCCGCTGCTGAGCATCCTCGCCTTCCGGCTGAGCGCCCAGTGCGCGATGACGTTTGGCACCGGATCGGTGCTCCTAGCGACGCTCCTGCACGACACGCCGGCCTGCACCTCGTCGACGATCCGTTCGAGCGCGTGGCGGGCGCCGCTCGTGCCGCTGCTGCGCGGCGTGCTGCCGCCGCGCCTGCTGCGCCGCATCTTCGGCGTCGTGCCGCCGCGCGCGCCTCCCTTCCTCCGCCTGCTCGCCGCGGTGCTCTCCCACGAGTGGCTCGGCTGGGTCCCTTCCCTCGGGCTGCCGTCGGCGCGGCCAGTAGCACTAGCAAGCAGCTCTTCTGTCGCCCCTCCCCTCGGCCCGCCCTCGGCGTGGCGCGCCGCCCAACCCGCGCCTCCCTCTGCCTCTGTGCCACCCAACCCCGCCCACCCCGCCGACACCCTCGCCGCAGGCGTTTGCTCTGCCCGGCACCATCTCCTTCCGCCCCTCGCCACACATGCGCGGAGGCAGCCTCGCCACCGGCGGCGGCGGAGGCGAGGGCGGCTGGCTCGCCGTGCGCGAGCTCGCCGGCGTGTACACGTACGGCTGCTACGACAGCGTCCACGCCGACCGCGCGTACATCTTCCGTTACAAGGTGCAGCACACACACCATGCTCTCTGCGCTCGGCTCGCACGTCCCGTCGATGCCTCCCACCCTGACCCGGACGCCAGCCTCCCGCCCCCAGCCCTGCTCCCTCCCACCCACGCCCGCTCGCCCGCGCCAGGCCTTTTGGATCCGCCCCGCCGCCGCCGACCTGCTGCACACCTCTGGCTCCCTCCTGCTCAAGATGGTCCTGATGCGGCACCGCGCACGCCGCCCCGAGGCGTGAACAGCGTCTCTTCACAGGATCAGCTGTGAACAGGTCCTGATGCACGCGTACGCCGCCCTCTTCATGCTCCTCGCGCAGCCTAACCACAGGGACGCCTTCGCCGCCGAGCTGCGCCGCCGCGTCGACCGCGTACGGCGGAGGGTGGCGCCCCGTCCGCCCGTCCGCCGCATCGCGATCGAGCCCGGCGACGTCTGCGCCTTTTGCCACGAGGAGCTGCTGCAGCCTCCGCCACGCGAGATCTCTGCCGAGGTCCACTCGCACCGCGGCACCAGCACACCGGGGCTGGTGCACCGAGCCGCGGCGGCGGCGGCCACGTCTGCTGAGGCGGTACTGGCGGCCGCCGTGAGCCTCGCGCTGCGGCGGCGGTGGGCGGCACCTCCGCCGGCCGGAGGAGGGGGCGAGCCGGGAGGAGGGTGCGAGCATTGCGTGTACTGCCGCTGGGGCTGCGGCCGCGCCGTGCACCGCGATTGCGCGGCGCGGTGGGGGCGAGACGCGTGCGTCTTTTGCTGGGCGCCGATGAGCTGACCCTCGCGCGATTTTCGGCTGTGGCGGCCGCAGCAGCGACTGGCGCTCAGGGCGTGGTGAGGGGTGGAGCGAGCCCGTGCGCATGATCCGTCTCGTTCTCGCCTATGATGTGCGAGTGACGAGTGTGTGTGTGTGTGTGTGTGTGTCGTGTGTCTTGGGCGTGTCGCGTGTGCTGTGTGCATTTTTCAGAGAGCAGCTTATCGCGAGGCCCGGGCGCTTCCACCCTTCCCCCTTCCGCGCTGGTTCGGTACATGGGTTGTTGCACGAGTATATGGGCCACGATGTCTCAAACCTATGAGGGGTTTTGACTTCTACCGGCTCCTGACGCTATCCCTGGCAGCTCTAATGGCCAGGGTCAGTAGTGTTGTGATAGATGGTGCCCATACTAGCGCAGGAGCTGCCACACTCGCCCGGACCGTCCCCTTCTGGGGCCGGTTCCGCAGCCCGCGAGAGCCGACAGCGGGGCCGTGCCGCAGGTGCCTACTGCCGAGTGCCACAAACACTGCGCCGTCCCGCCATCACCTACAGGCTGTCTTGTGGGATGGTTGGGATGTCCAAACGCCACCATCTTGGCTCTTGCGACCTCAAACCCTCGAGCTGTATGGGTGGTCCTGACGTCGACAGACGCCCGAGGACCATGGTGAAGCTGAGCCGGAACGCGTCGACAGGTCTCGCCTGAGCCCGTGGCGGTCGCCGGCTGAGTCGCCGTGCACGAGCCGGTACCTCAGGCGTCACCTCCGCAGCCTCAGGTCTCAAACTCCACCACCTCCGCCAGGACGCCGTCGGTGGCACGTTCGGCGGCGAGTTTGTTGCAGCCCCACAGCGAGCACGGCGTCGAGCCTATTCGGTCTGGTCGGTTCGCGGCACTCACTGGGTGCCAGGGAGTGCCGCCGACACGCGAGCGGTGCTTCCTGGCAGCGCGCGCCGGCTGTGGGGCTGCAACAAACTCGAGACACGCTTTTTGGGACATTTTCGACGCTTTTGGCCCATATACTCGTGCAACAACCCACATCTACCTACTACCAACTACCAACGGCTGGGCTCTAGCGTCGTGTTTTGATCTCTCGGGGAGTGTGGGCGCCCGCCCGCCGCCTCTGGAGGGGGGTCGGCGGCACCCGCGCTTCTTGTCGGAGTGGAACCTGTCGAAGAGCTGTCCAAGCCGCTCGCAGGAGCTGTGCTGCCACCTGCCAGGAGGTGTCAGTAGGCTGAAGCACCCGACCAGAAGCAGCATTCCGATGCTGTGAGCAGGTGGTGGTGTGGCTCCACGTGTTTGGCTTTTGGTGACGGCCGCCGGAGAGGTTGACCTTGACGGGCGCGAAATAAATAAAAACGGACACCTCCCTACTGAAGAGTCTACTGTGAGATGGAGGGTAACGAAAAAGGAACGGACAGGTCGCCCGCCCTTGACGGGCGCGAAATCGCCCTCGTGTTTTTTTACTTGGCTCCACGTCACATAACGCGCGCTCTCGAGAACACCTCCACGCGACGAGGCGGCGCGGGAGCCGTCTATAGAAGTGGTTACCGTACGATATGAGAACACATTTCAGTCGGCGCATCGGCCCTCGGGGTGGGCGGCCCCCCGGCCGCCGCCCTCGCCCTCGTACCCGCCCTCCAGCGCAAGCAGCGTCCCCATCAGCGTCATGATTCTGTCGAGGTCCCCGCTCGCCTCCGCCTCTGCCATCTCCGCCTTGAGCTGCGCGATCTTGCGGCTCGGCCGGTTCATCATACCGATCCCGTCCTCGTCGTAGTCCTCCTCCTCCTCCTCCTCCCCTCTCCCCTCGTCGCCCTCCGCCCCCGTCATCGTCGGCGGAGGCGCGCGGGCGCCAGCTGCCGCCTTCGCCTCCCACGTCTTGAGGTGCGTGTCCGGCTTGGCGGTGGCGGCTCGCCGGTCGTCGACGGCGCGGTCCGGCTCGCAGCCGTTCAGAGGGCGCGAGCAGACGAGCGCAAAATGGCGGCCGGTGGCGGCGGCGAGCCGGATGCGCCCAAAGCCCACCTCGGCGAGCGCCGCCGCCGGCCCGCCTCCCGGCACCCCCTCGGCGGTCTGCCAGTCCGCGTAGGCGTCGAGGTACGGCTCGGTGGAGCGGATGAGCGAGAAGAGGAGCGGGTTGGAGCGCAGCTTCGAGAAGCCCTCCTGGCGCGCAACGTACGGGGCGCCTGAGCCTCCTCGGCCCTCCCTCATGGCGCGGCGGCGGGCGCGGCGGCGGGGCGCAGGGGCGGGCGCGCGCCGTGGCGAAGTCCATCTCTGTGACCCAGAGCTGTCCGCCCGGGCGGAGGATGCGGTGCGCCTCGGCGAAGATGTCTCCCGCAGCGGCGGGCGGCAGCTCGTGCATCACGAGGGACAACTGCACCACGTCCACCGAGCAGGCGGCCAGGCCGGTGGCTGCGGCGTCGGCGTGCAGGAGCGAGATGCGGCCGTCAGGCTCGAGGGGCTGCACCCACCGACGGCGCTCCTCCTCCTCTAGCTCCAGCAGCCGCCGGCCGACGGCGAGGAAGTGAGGCGACAGGTCGACGCCGACGACCGAGCCCGCCTGCGGGTGCGCCGCGGCCAGCCGGCGAGTCGAGATGCCAGAGCCGCAGCCGAGGTCGACGAGGGAGCCGCCGGCCGGACACTCCGCGCCGAGCGAGGCGAGCGCCTCGTCAAAGGCGCCGCGGAAGGCCTGATCGGGCGGCGCGAGCGGTGAGATGGATCAGGCGACGGGTGAGATGAATCGGGCGGCGCGAGCGGTGTGGATAAAGGGGCGGCGGCGGGCGCCTCCTCGCCACGCTCTCCAAACTCAGGAAAGTTGCGCGCTCCGACGGCGCGCGATGCGATCTCGCCCTCCCACGCGGCGTCCCAGCACAGGTTGCCCTGCTCGTAGGCGTGAAAAGGCCTCCGGTAGTACTCTGGGATCGCCACAGCCGAATCGTCCTCGCTGAGACGCCAAGGGCCGCGCGCCTTGATCCAGTCGAGCGCGTCGCGCCAAGGCACGCCGTTCCGTTCAGCGGTCTCTACCATCGTGCGCTGTGCCTGCGGCACGAGAACCGCCTTGTACAGCGGCGAGCTCAGGGCCGCATCGAGCAGCGCCCGGCCGATGTCGATCCCACCGCCTCGCATCGCCAAGCCACGAGAGCGCGGCGGCGGCGGCCTGAGCAGGCTCTGCAGCGTGACGAGGAGGGCGAGCATGCCGGCGCTATCGACTCCCGGATAAAGAATTTCGAGTACGGGCGTGCCGTCCCTCCCATCCTGCGTCGCCCATCTCTCCCTGGATGATGACTGCTCTATTTATTTATGTCTCCCATCCCGCCTGGGCGTTTTATTTCTTTTTTCATCGAGCCGCTTTTCACCACGTTGGGGCCGCTCGTTAGTATATATTCACAGTCCCCGGGGTGGTTACGCGCAGTGTCCAACGCTGCGCTGCTCCCCAATGCGCGCACGAGAGGCGAGACGCCCCCGGGCGCCGCCGTCAGGCGGGTTGTAGCGAGGCCTTCTCGTCGTCCTCGTCGTCCGCCTCCGCCTCGCTGCACTTCACCGGCGTGGGCCTGCTCGCCAGGTTGGAGCGCGCGCGTGCGTACGCCGCCCCTCCGAGCAGCGACGTGCCGCAGCCGACGACCGCCTGCCACGAGGATGCCTCGTGCAGCACGGCGATGCCAAAGGCGACGACGACGAACTTGTTGAGGTTGGCGAGGACCATGAAGGTGGTCGCGGTCACGTACGCCTGCGCGTTGATGCCCGCCCACGAGATTGCGACGGCGTTGACGCACGAGGCGAGCAGCAGCATCCCGTCCGCAGTGGACAGGCGGGCGAGGAGCCGCCACTGCGGCACCTCGCCGGTGCAATAGACGAGCACCGACATGGGGAGGAGGGAGACGACGTTGTTGAGCAGCATCAGCCCCGTCTTGTTGATGTCCACCGGCTCCACCGCAATCATCCTCCGCTGGAGCAGCCTCTCGAGCACGCCCGCCGTCATGTTGAACGCCATCCACGCCACGCCGGTGGGCGAGAAGGCGACGTCGTTGGAGACGTAGAGCCCGACGCCGCCGAGGATGAGCAGCAGCGAGAGGATGGTCGCGCCGTCCACCTCTATCCGCTCGCCCGTGATGACCCCCTCGATGGCCATCGAGACGAGCGGCGCCACGTTGCGGAGCACGACAATAGCGCCCATCGACGAGTGGCGCAGCGCGAGCATGCTGGACGTGAGCATGGCGGTGAAGAGCCACGGCACCGTCACGCTCCACCGAATCACGTGCCTGCACGCACCGGCCGCAGGCCTGTCACACGAGGCGCGGCGAGGGCCGGCCGCCGCCGGGAAGCGGGCACTGGAGCGAGCCAAAGTGCAACCCGCATGGCGCGACGCAGAGAATGCCGGCGGTGAAGGCCATCTGGATCATCACGACCGTGATCGGCAGATGCACCGCGCGTAGCACCTGCGGCGAGACGCGGGGTGGCGTTATCGCGTGCGTGCGTCTCGCGTGGCGTCGTGCGCGGGCCAGGCGGCGGCGCCATCTTGTTGATAATCATCATCCCGGCGGAGCAAGCCATGAAGAATACGCACGACAGCACCAGCGCCGCGGCGGCGGTGGCTCGCGCCATGGTGGATGCCACGAGGGCTAGCACGGAGGGCGCCACGGAGCGCCACGGAGGAAGCGGTGTTCGCTGGACCGGCACCCGCGCAAAGTTCTCGTGCCAACGCTTCCGGGGTCGTGCGAAAAAGAATGTACGTCGCCTTTATATGACAGGAGAAAAGCCGCCGCCCCTGCCACCCCTGTGTCAGTGTGCCTGTGGTAGGAGAGACTGCCAGCGACAAGCTGGAGGCAGGTCGCTAGACTGAGATGAGACCGCCAGTGGATGTGGGAGTCCACCGCGCACCGCGCTGCGAGCCTGTCGTGTCCCTTGTCAGGAGCAGGAGAGCCCCACCTGTCCCCCTGATCGTCCTTCCAAAATCCTGCTCATGCAGGTGGGGACCCTGTCCTCGTCCCATCCCTCGTTTGGCGTGTCTGTTTTCTTTCTTTCTTTCTTTAAAAGACGAGCATGAAGGTCGCTGCAAGAATTGGTGATAAACTGCGGAGAGAGATAGGAAGTGGTAGACGCCCGAGGGTGGGCGACGGCTAACACCACACTTCTCCCCTAAAATCCCTGTGTGGTGGCGGCGTACCGTCCTCCCATCCCTCCCTTGGGTTGCCTGTTTTCTTTCTTTCTTTAAAAGACGAGCACTTGTTGTGTGTTGTGTGTTGTGGTGGTGTGCGGTGTGCGGGGTGTGTGTGTGTGTTGTGCGTTGTGTTGCGTGTTGTGCGGCGGGCGGTGTTGTGCGATGGGCGGCAGCGGGTGAGTGAGGGCGGCTATTCTCCCCCGAGGCAGGCAAGGATACGCAGTCCCTCGTGTCGCGCGTGTAAGTCCCGGTTGCCGTGCGCGCCAGCGCGTGTGGCCGCGTACCTTAGCTAAGATACGCGCGCACGGGCGTGGGTGGGTAAAAACGGGTCACTTTGCGGGGTTTGCCGCCTGTGCACTTGGGCCCCGGAGCGTGAGAGCGGAACTTTAGTTTCCATGGTGGCTCTCGCAGCCTAGACGATGCCGCCCCCGGCACCGACGCCGCTGCGCCAGCCCGGACGTCGAGCGCTGGGAGAGCGACGAGGACTCGGAGGACTCGGGAGACGAGCGCGAGGGGGATGAGCACGAGGTGGCGCTGAGCGAGGCGGCCATCCTACGGCTGATGGCGTGAGCTGCCCCTCCCCCCCCCCCACCACTGCTAGGTCCGACGGACGCCCTGCGCCTGCTTCCACCCCCCGCCGCCGAGACTCATGGCGGCGTCTCGAGAGAGCCGCCGCGCGGGGCGCGGCGCGGTCGCCGCTCCGGCGTAGAGGGCCGGGCGCAGATCTCCGGAGCCGGAGCCGGGGGGCCGCCCGTGGGGCGAGGGGAGGGCGTAGGGGCGCGGCGGGGCCCGCCCAGCGGTGAATCCGGAGGGGCCGTGGCGGGGGCGTCCCGCGTCCCGGTCCTGTGCACCGAGGAGGGGCGGCGGGGTGTGGTGCGGCGAGGTTGGTGTGCCGTCCGCCCCGCCCCCGGCCGTCCCGGAGCGTCTCCCGGCTCCGCGGGGCCCGCGAGCGGGCGTGGCGTGAGTCCGTGAGAAGAGCGTCGCCCCGCGTTGCGAGCAAGTAACTACACACAAATACGCGTGTACCCAGCCTGAGTCCAAATACACAAATTACAGACTTCAATCCCAGCATCTGGGGACTGGGCTAGATAGAGAGACGAGACGCGGCCGGTTTAGATTAGAATAAGTAAATAAAACGGACACACCAAACAAGGGGTGGGAGAAGGACAGGGTCCCCACCTGCGCGAGCAGGATCTTGGAAGGACGATCAGGGACACAGGGATTAGATAGCCACGCGCTGTTTCTTTTTTGGAAGGCGCTGCCGCCCTGTCGCTGCCGCTCGCGCATCCCGGCGCGCGCCCTTTCCCCGTCCCCCCTCCCCCACCTTTCGCGCGCGCGCAGCCGCCCTGTGCGCCGCGTCCGCTTCCTTGCGCGAGGCAAATTCCGGCCGCCTGGCTGCTTTGAACCCGCGCCTGCCGCGCGCCGCTTCGTCAGGCGCTCTGCGACGATGCCGCTGGCGGATCGCAAGGAGAGTGGGCCGCGGTATCGGAATCAGCTGGACAAGGACGATGCCCGGCGCGGTCGTGAGGAGACCACCATCTCCATCCGGAAGGACAAGCGCAACGAGCAGCTGCAGAAGAAGCGCTTTGGCGGCCCCGCCGCGATGATGATGCCTCCAGACCAGTCGCAGCAGTCGGTGGGGTCGCAGGCGCGCTGCGCTCGCTGCGCGGGCGAGCGCCGGCCCTGGCTCTCCGCCTGGGTGAGCGCCTCGTGCCCATGCTCCGCAGGCGTGGGCCGAGTCCGACCCGCAGAAGCTGGTCGCTGGCGTGCAGTCAGAGGACCCGAACCAGCAGCTGCCGGCGGTGACGCAGTTCCGAAAGCTGCTGTCGATCGAGCGCTCGCCGCCCATCGAGGAGGTGATCGCCGCGGGCGTCGTCCCGCGCTTTGTGCAGTTCTTGCAGTGCGGCGACAACCCGATGCTGCAGTTTGAGAGCGCGTGGGCGCTGACCAACATCGCGTCGGGCACGTCGGAGCACACGCGGGTGGTGATCGCCAACGGGGCGGTGCCCATCTTTGTGCAGCTCCTGATGTCGCCCAACGACGACGTGCGGGAGCAGGCCGTCTGGGCGCTCGGCAACATCGCGGGCGACTCGCCCGAGTGCCGCGACCTCGTGCTCACGCAGGGCGCGCTGCAGCCGCTGCTCGAGCAGCTGCAGCCCTCGTCCAAGATGTCGATGCTGCGCAACGCGACGTGGACGCTCTCCAACCTGTGCCGCGGCAAGCCCCAGCCGCAGTGGCCGCACGTCGTCGGCGCGCTCCCCATCCTCGCGCAGCTCATCTTCTCCAACGACGACGAGGTGCTGGCCGACGCGTGCTGGGCGCTGTCGTACCTCTCCGACGGCCCAAACGACAAGATCCAAAAGGTGCTCGACACGGGCATCTGCGCGCGGATCGTGGAGCTGATGGGCCACCCGCCGGCGAGCGTGCAGACGCCCGCGCTGCGCACCGCGGGCAACATCGTCACGGGCGACGACAACCAGACGCAGCAGGTGATCAACTGCGGCGCGCTGCCGAGACTGCTCGCGCTGCTCAACTCGCCCAAGAAGGGGATCCGGAAGGAGGCGTGCTGGACCATCTCCAACATCACGGCGGGCACGCGCGAGCAGATCCAGGCCGTCATCGAGTCCAACATCATCCCGCCCCTCGTGCTGCTGCTCGCAACGGCGGAGTTCGACATCAAAAAGGAGGCGGCCTGGTCCATCTCCAACGCGACGAGCGGCGGTTCGACGGACCAGATCAAGTACCTCGTCACGCAGGGGTGCATCAAGCCGCTCTGCGACCTGCTCATCTGCAACGACCCGCGCCTCGTCACCGTCGCGCTCGAGGGCATCGAGAACGTCCTCAAGGCGGGCGAGCAGGACGGCGCGGCGACCGGCACAAACCCGTACGCGTCCTACGTTGACGAGGCGGACGGGCTGGAGAAGCTGGAGAAGCTGCAGGAGCACAACAACGAGGACGTCTTCAAGAAGGCGGTGCACATCCTCGAGTCCTACTTTGGCTTGCTAGAGGAGGAGGACGAGCACCTCGCCCCCACCACCACGCAGCAGGGCTTTGTCTTCCAGGGGGCGCAGCAGCCCATGGGCGCGCGCAGCCCCTCCCCTCACCCACA